ATGCTGCTGATGGCCACCTGGCCCCACTCCTCCACGTCGATGAGCAGGTTGCAGAGCTTCCGGTAGTTCTTGTGGATCAGGTCGATGCGCTCCGGGCACACCTCTTCGAAGGCCATCACCACGCTGCCCGCCACCAGCTGGGGAGCAGACGGAGGCCAGAGGGTCACGGGGAGGACGGGCCGGAGGGCCTCTGTCGGGCACCTTCCCACCACCGAGCCCGTGCACCCCTGCTCGCACCGTGGTCTTGTCGGCCAGGAGCTTCTCAATGACCTCGATCAGCTGGTCCTTCTGGTCAGAATCCAAACTGCGGGAGACACTGTTGAGAGGGGCCTGCCCCTCCCTTCTCCATCCTTCCCAGTGTCCGCCCAGGCTGTGCTCACCTCCCTCACCCCAACCCTGTTCACGGGGAGGTGTGAGCGTGCTCCACGGTCCTCCATCTCTCAGTTCCCAAAACCGTCTTAAAATATATGATTTCAGAGAGGAAGGAGAGGGAGAGAGCGATAGGAACATCAATGATGAATCATTGATCCGCTGCATCCTGCAAGCCCCCCATTGGGCCTGCAACCTGGGCATATGCCCTTGACCTGAATCAAAGCTGGGACCCTTCAGTCCACAGGTCGACTGAGCCAAATGGGCTAGGGCCCAAAACTGTCTTAAACCACCTAAAAAATAAAAAAAAGCAGGGCATGCCTGACCGGCATGGACCCCTGAACCAGGAGGTCATAGTTGGATCCCTGTTGGGGCACATGCATCCCCAGTAGGGGGCGTGCAGAAGGCAGCTGATCAATGATTCTCTCTCATCTCTCATCGCTGATGTTTCTATCTCTCCCTCTCTGAAATCAATAAAAATGTATTTTATTTTTTTAAAAATATATTTTACTGATTCTTCACAGAGAGGAAGGGAGAGAGAGAGAGAGTTAGAAACATTGATGAGAGATAAACATCGATCAGCTGCCTCTGCACATCTCCCACTGGGGATGTGCCCACATCCCAGGCACATGCCCTTGACTGGAATCAAACCTGGGACCCTTCAGTCCGCAGGCCGACGCTCTATCCACTGAGCCAAACCGGTTTCGGCAATAAAAATGTATTTTAAAAAAAGCAAAGCAGCATGCAAGACCCGGGACAGGCCAGAGGTGGGCTGGGGACATGGGGACCCCTCCCCCGGGAAGTGAGGGCAGGGCTGGGGCAGCACACCTGTAGAGCTTAGGGATGGCATGGGCGGCCGTTTTCCGCACGTAGGGCGACATGTCCGAGGCAGCTTCCTTGATGGCCAGCATCATGATGGGCACTATGATGGGCACGCGGATGCTAGAGAGGACTCGGAGGGCGCTGGCGCGGATCAGCTGGTTGGGGTCCTAGGGGCAGAGGGGGAGGCAGAGCCGTGAGAGGCCACCCCCAAGGAATGCGCGGTCCCTGGCTATACCACCCGCTCTTGCTTCCTGGTCCCGTTCTGACCCCGGAGGATGTGCCAGTGTTGGGTACCCGGGGGCACTGCTTGAGGGCGTTGACTCTTGGCCTTGGCCGCACAAATCTGACATCTAAGCGGGTGCGGCAATGGGCTGCTTCATTTTCAGGGAGAGTGGAGAACTCTCAGAGCACCTAACATTCCTGAAACAGCCCCTGTTCCTTAGTTCCCTTGTGTTCATGCAGAGGCCACTCCCAGCAAATGCAAGCTGGTCTCCCCCCAAGAGTCCGTCCTTCCTTGCCTCTCCCCAAAGAACCTCTCCCAAGCTGCTCTTCTTCCTCTTCTCCCACAGTCTGTCTTTCTTTCCTTCTTTCTTTTTTTAAATATATTTGTATTGATTTTAGAGAGGAAGGGAGAGGGAGACAGCGATAGAAATATCGATGAGAGAGGATCATTGATCAGCTGCCTCTTGCACACCCTCCCTAATGGGGATTGAGCCCGGAACCCAGGCATGTGCCCTGACCAGGAATGGAACCGTGACCTCCTGGTTCATAGGTTGACACTCAACCACCGAACCACGCTGCCCGGGTGTCTTCTCCCACCGTGTTTAAAAGAGAAGAGTGTGGGGGCCCCTCCTCGTTGCTCCTATAGCTTCCTATACACTGAGAAGGACCTGGACAGTGTACTGCAGTCATGGGCTGCAGCAGAAGCAGCTGCAAGTGACGGTTCATCTTGGAGGGGGATGGACAATGGCAGGGGTGCTGGACACGCAAGACAGATGCTACCCGGATTTTCTAAAATGAAGAAAGAGAAGATCCACAACATTACTGATATAAAAATGATGGCAATGTCAAAATTCTGGAATTGATTTTTAAACAGAAGGCCTAAAAGCACTTATTTAAAAAGGCAGGAGTGTAGCCCGGGTGTTCAGTGGTTGAGTGTCAACCAAGAGGTCACCAGTTTGATTCCCGGCCAGGGCATATGCCTGGGTTGTGGGCTAGATCCCCAGTGGGGATGTGCAGGAGGTAGCTGATCGATGTTTCTCATTGATGTTTCTATCTCTTTATCCTTCTCCCTTTCTTGCTCTCTAAAAAAAATCAATAAAAAAAGATACATTTAAAAAAAAGTTACTTTCAAAAATCAAATAAAAAGCAGAAGTGTGTGTTCTAGCCAGTTTTGCTCAGTGGATAGCGCATCAGCCTGCAGACTGAAGGTACCCAGATTTAATTCCAGTCCAGAGCACGAACCTTGGTTGCAGGCTTATCTGTAGTGCCCTGAGGCTGCATGTGGGAGGCAACCAATTGAAATGTCTCTCACATGGATGTTTCTCTCTGTGTCTCTCCCCAACCCTTCTACTCTCTCTAAAAATCCATGGAAAAGTGTCCTTGGGTGAGGATTAACAAAAATCTCTCTATATAAAAGCCTAATATGCAAAGTGTCCCGGGAACTGGAAATATCAGGGGGAACAATCTGTAAAGTAGATGCTTGTCCAACTGCCGTGCTGTACACCCGACCTAATATAAATCCTATATAATGAAAGGCGAATATGCAAAGTCATCCCCTCGCGAGTTCGTCTGACCGGGCGTTCGACCGCTCGCTATGATGTGCACTGACCACCAGGGGGCGGCGCAGAACTAAGGAAGGCCCTGGCCGGCAGCCAGCATCCGCTAGGGACCCTACCCATGCACAAATTTCATGCACTGGGCCTCTAGTAAATATATAAATAAAAATAAATAAAAAGCAGGAGTGTGTATTTTTTCCTTTTTTTGCTTGAGAAAGAGCTCGCTTTATTGGGAATGGAGCACTGTGCATAGGGCTCCTACACGAGGTGCTCAGGAAGGTACACAGGGCACAGAATGTGCTGCTCATGAAGAGCAACTGGAACGGGCTCCTCTGGGCAACTTCCCAGCACCTCCCTCCCGCTCCCCGGGGTCAGCACTCCTGACCACTTCCTTGAAGGCAACTGTGGTTCACTGGAGATAGAGCCCCTCAGGGGTGCCTTCTTGTTTTGTTTTGTTTTTTTAAATATATTTTATTGATTTTTTTACAGAGAGGAAGGGAGAGAGATAGAGAGCTAGAAACACCGATGAGAGAGATACATCGATCAGCTGCCTCCTGCACATCTCCTACTGGGGATGTGCCCGCAAGCCAGGCACATGCCCCTGACCGGAATCGAACCCGGGACCCTCCAGTCCGCAGGCCGATGTTCTATCCATTGAGCCAAACTGGTTTTGGCTGCCTTCTTGTTTTTTATACAGAACATAGCCTTCATTTGCTACTTTCATTCTACGTTCCCTCAAGGCCCTCAGACCAGCTCCTGTGCAGACTGCCTTGATGTCGGCACCAGCGAGGTCACCCTTAGCCGTGACCAAGTCGTCCACTGTCCCGTCATCAGCCAGCGTCCTTCTGCTTGTGTGGACCTGGAAGATGAGCTTTTTGGTCTTTTCATCCAGCGGGGAACTCCATCTTCCTGTCAGTGCGGCCTGGTCTGATTAGTGCTGGATCCAGAGTCCCTGTTTGGTTTGTGGCCATGATGACTTTTATGTCTCCCCTTGAATCAAATCCACCCACTGGTTCAACAGTTCCAACATTAGTCACTGAATTTCTCTCTCACCTCCGGAGTTTGAGTCATATCGTTTTGTCCCAACGGCATCAATTTCGTCAATAAACATGATGGATGGTGCATTTCTTCAGCAACTCGAAACAATTCCCAAACGAGTTGGGGGCCCATCACCTAGGCACTTCTGAATGAGTTCAGAGCCAACTGCTCTCAAGAAAGTGG